TCCCTTCCTTCTATCCTTCCTCCCTTTCTTCCTTCACTTATTCATTCATGCATTTGTGCCGAGGCTGGTTCCTCCCTGCTTGTGAGAGTCGATTGTACACACATCTCTTCCCCACATCAGTTCACTGATGTCATGTTGGTGGCTTGAAATCATCCATGGTGGGAGGGTGTTGTTTTTTTTTTAATAAGCTTAATTTTTTTTTTTAGGTTGCAAAACTTATACTCCTTGTTCCCACGCATGCACAGCCTCCGCCATTATCAATATCCCCCATCTGAGCAGTGCCTTTGTTACACTTGGTGAACCTACATCAACATGTCATTATCACCCAATGCCTATAGCTTACCTCAGGGTTCACTCTTGGTTTTGTACACTCTGTGGGTTTTGACAAATGTGTAATGACATGTGACCACCATTATAGTATCACAGAGAATAGTTTCACTGCTCTAAAAATCTACTGTGTTCCACCCCTTCCTCTCTCCCTCCCACCTCACCCTTGGCAGCAGCTGGTCTTTTTACCACCTCAATAGTTTTGCTATTTCCAGAATGTCATATAGTTGGATTCATACAGTATATAGCCTTTACAGGTTGGCTTCTTTGACTTGGTGATAGGCATTAAAGGTTTCTATGGGTCTTCGCATGGCTTGAGAGCTCATTTCTTTTTAGGGCTGAAGAATATTCCATTGTTTGGCTGGACCACAGCTTATTTTTCCATTCACTTACTAAAGGACACCTTGGTTGCTTCCAAGTGTTGGCAATTATGAATAGAACACCCATAAACATTCATGTACAGGTTTTTGTGTGGACAGAAGTTTTCAGCTCCTTTGGGTAAATACCAAGGAGCATGATTGCTGGATCATATGTTAAGACTATGTTTAGTTTTGTAAGAAACTGCCAAACTGTCTTCCAAAGGGGCTGTACCATTTTGCATTCCCACCAGCAGTGAAGAATTCCTGCTACTCCACAACCTTGCCAACATTTGGTGTTGTCAGTGTTTTGGACCTTGGATTTTCTAAGAGCTGTGTAATGGTATCTCATTGTTTTAATTTGCATTTCCCTAATGACATGTAATGTTGAGGATCTTTTCATGTGCTTACTTGTGATCTTCTATCTTGTTCAATGAGGTGTCTTTTGGGGCTTGTTCAATAGGCAGGCCTTTTGCTCATTTTTCAGTTGGGTTGCTCGTTTTCTTATTATTGGGTTTTAAGAATTCTTTGCTTTATTTTGGACAACAGTTCTTTATCAGATAGGCTTTTTGCAAATATCTTTTCCCATTCTGTGGCTTATCTTCTCATTCTCGATGCATGGTAGGAATATTTATACCACAGAATTGGCAAATGTAACGAATCAGGGCTTTCCTTCAGAGGGCATTTAAATATTTACCGGTACACTGATGCATACATGCATCAGCCATTTATTGTGTGAACTATGCACTCAAAAATGTTCAGTCCTGTGGCAGAGACAGGCTCAATGAATCACTGACCATAATACAGAGTTCTGAATATAGGGATGGAAGCAGAACAAGGATGCAATAGGAACATGAAGAAGGGGCATCTACAGCAGCCAGGAAGTTGGAATGACTTTCCCAGGGGAGAACTCGAGCCCTGACCTAAGTATTTCAAAGTGATTAGTTGTTGTCTGGATCAATACTGCCCAGTAAGGTTAGCCACTTGCCCCATCCCGCTATTTAACTCACTCACACTAGCCACATTGCAAGTTGTGGCTACGAGTGGCTGGAGGCTCCTATATTGGACAGAGCAGATCGAGAACTTCCCTATCACTGTCCCAGAATGTGCTATTGGACAGCACTGATCTAGACAAAAAAGTGGAGGAAAGGCGTTCCAGGCAGAAAGTACCCAGTGGAAGGACTCAGAGCTCTGAAACAACATGACTCACGCTGGGGGGAGATGGGCATTGCAGCTGAACAAACAGGCAGCAGTCAGATCGCAAAATGGCATTAGTGCCAAGCTTGGGAGTTTAAACTCTAGCCTGAAAGCTAGTGGGAGCCCCCGGAGGCTTTTGAACAGAAGCCTGATGTCGTCAGCTTTGCATGTTAATAAGATCTCTCTGGTAGTCAGTGGACTGGATAAGAGGGGCCAGCCTGGAGGCTGGGAGATGATTCTGAGAGCATTGCAGTTTCCAGGCAGTGTGTGTAGGGGGAGGTTGGGGGTGAGTGAAGAGAGGTTTGAAATGAGGGGGCAACTGTGGCACAGATGCAGAGAGAGTAGAGGAATGTGGATGACCCACTGGCTCATTGCATCTGGCCTCTGTGAAGTGCTTTGTAAATAGTTGTTGATTTAATGAATGAATTACAGCTGAGCCCAGATTGTACAACAGGGTGCATATCCCCCTGGTGCCGTGGGTGGTATCTATTGCACAAACAAAGAGGTACAAGAGCATATCTTTTCATCTGAAGGAGGAAGGGCTGACAGGGAGAGAGACAAACAAGAGAGATGGGGGGAAAGGGACTTCCTCTGTCCTGTGTGATGGAAAGAGGGCTCCAGTGAGGAGGGCATGAACTGTGGGGGACCCTTGACCTAGGGAGTGCCTCTCTGGGGCCCGGGGACAAGGGCTACTCAGAACTAGGTATAGGCCATTCTCTACCCATCCTCTTCCCCAACCCCTTGACCATGGGAACTACAGGACAGATCTGGTTTCCTGAAGGATTGGGGCATTTCATCAAGATAGAGATGTGATGCACAATGGACCGGCAGCATCAGGGAAGACAGTGTCAGCAGGAACAGTGGAACATGGCCAGAGTAGGAGACATTAGTGGACTGGTGCTTAGACACATGAGAGATACCAGTCTCCTTCTTTTGGACTCTTGGAAGTAACTGGAGATCTTGAGGGCAGGTGGCTGAAAGCTACTGTAACTTGAGCATCAATGTTAATATTACCTCGTTTGCACCTACGGGTCCCTAAGGACTGGGACCTTTGGGTTACAGAATGAATGATAGGTGACCTGAGGCAGGTTTCACTTGCTCATTCATTAAGTAAATATTTGTTGAGCCTCTGTGTACCAAACATAGTGCTGCATGCTGGGCAGACAATGGTTTACAAAACAGAGATGATCCCTGCCCTGAGGAGCTTATGGTCTAATAGTCCAACAGACCAGCGTATGCACTATTCAGGAAAAGCACCTGGAACCACCATAGTCCAGGGAAGGGTTCTTTTAGGTGAGGGTCAGGAAAGGATAATTTGAGAAAGTGACACTTAAACTGAGACCTGAAGATGCATAGGAGTTAGCCAGGTAGAGGGAACAATAGATATGGAGGCTTTGGGAACCAGTCTGGAGGCTGAGAGAAGGCAGCAAGGAGACACAGGGGAGGCTGCAGTGGGAGGCCAGGGCCAGACCCCACACGGCCACATCGGGACTTGGATGCAAGTCCAAGCGTGGTGGCTGGTGGGGGAGTGACGTGATCAGGCTCATGTTTGACAAGGATCGTTCTGGCATCTCTCTGGAAAATGCACTGGGGACAAGAGGGTCTGCTGGGAGAAGCGTGTCAAGGCTCATTCAGTCACCCAGGAAGAGACCTGGTGGCGTGGTTGTGGTGATGGAGAGACGTGGAGGAATCTGAGAAGTATTTAAAAGAACTGAGACAACATGTTTTTGCCGTGTCCTTGTTTTGGTATAAACAGGCCAAAGCATTGACTTTAAACAAGGTGAAGAGCAAGTACTCGCCCAGGTCAATCTGTCCCGCGCGTGGCCTGTTTTGCTCTGGGTTAGTTGCTCTAACGGTGCCGAGGTCATGTGGGCCATACCCTCACCTCCAAGCAGGACCACACCTGAGGCGAATGCGTTTCATGTCTGAGGGTTTCCTGAGAAAGCTTTCACAACTTCTTTCAAAGATAACCGCTGCTTGTCTTTAAAAGAATCACTATTGGGAAACCCCTGTTTGTATTTTACCTGGATGCCTCTCGTCCTGAAGTTTCTTGATTCTTGATGGAGATGCTGAAATCAGTCACCTGGGCCTTCAAACGTGGATGACGTCATAATGGCAGTTCTGAAGCATGTCTCTTTGTAAATAACAGAGGAGGGTGCCTGAATATCCCGAGCAAAAGGATCTAATTTGATTTTTGTGGCTCTCTAGCTCTCTGTTCTTTGCCCTTGCTACTCAAAGCATGGTCCATGGACCGAGTTAACATCACCTCAGAGCTCAGTAGACTTGCAGGACTAAATCAGAATATGCATTTTAACACGTTCCCCAGGCCATCCATAGGCAAGTTCATTTTGGGAAGCCCTGCCTTGGATCAGCCTGAGACCATCTAAAAGTAGGTGGGCGGTGACAGGTACCGGAGATTTGATATTGCAGTGAGCCTCAGCAAGTGATTAGAAAAATTGAACTGGTTCAACAGGAACCAGACTTTCTCTGGAAGTTCCCTGCCTCCGGGTCATGCACAGCGTTTCAGCTGAAGTCAGAGATGTTGGGTGCATTTCCCCATTGTGTGGCTGGGAGGAGCGCTGAGGGCAAGGGGACGCACCCCTGGTGCTGAAATGCTGTCAGGTGGAAAGCAACTCTCCATGCGCCCCCTTAGGCAGCAGAGTCACTTCCCCAAAACCCCCCAAGTGTGGACAGTTTGTTCCTTGTCCTCTTTGCCTGGTCCCTAAGGGCCCCAGTTAAGTGGTTAGGGTGACTCTTGCTTTGTTCTGAATTGAGCAACATGAGTGATGTGCAGGGAAAGCTGGGTTAGGACCTCAGTTTAAGGCTCCTCCAATGGCCTGGGGTAGAATAGAACATCCAAAGCTCTGCCCACGCTGTGCGGTGGGCCTCTCCAGGCCAGAGACCCCGGTTCCCACTTGAGCGGACGTGTGACCCAGACACTGTCCAGCAAAACAGGGCCCTTGTCATTATCCCTGCTTTCCTGAGAAGTGTTTCAAGGTGCAAAATCCAGGCCAGAGCCAAATCATTTCCCTCTCTCTTCACTGGGGCTGGTCCTCCCACATAATCAGACAAATGGATGAGGTTTGTGGGCTGTGTAAAGCATATGGTTTGTAAATACTGTAAAATCAAACATCACTTTTGGCTTTTATTTACTGTAACATGTTCACATCACCTAGCACCAAAATAGCTCTTAGGTCTTCTCTGCCTTGCTTCTCCTTCTCCCTGTTCTGTTGCCTTCATCCTTGTGGTACCTGTGCCCCTACCTTCCACTGCGCTCACGTCTCCTCCTCCCCCACCTGCTCCCACCCTCCTTCCCGGGCTTGCCTGCCCGCTGACTCCTACTCCCATGTCTCCCTCGCCTGTCCCACTTAACATCTCGCTCGCTTTCCCTCCCTTTCTGCCTCTCACGCTGCTCCTTGATCTTTTGAAATGTCTCTGCTACCTTTCCCTTTCTGTGCTTTCATTTCTAAAGGCTGCGTGCCAGACGCTCCTCACTCTGCTCCACTCCCTCTGCCTCTCAGGCTATTTTCTCTTCGCTCCCAAGACTCACCACAGAGTGCCTTCTTTTTCCCTTCCCCTGTAAAGGCAGCACAGGGATCACAAAATCATAGAATTCAGAGTCAAGGGGACACAGCCTACGTTACACTGACAGTTACTTCTGAGTCAGAAACTCTTTCTTTTTCTATCACACTCCAGAATGGCTGCCCCCATCACTCCTGAGAGCAAGGAGAGCTGGGGAAGAAGACAAAGGAACGGGCCCACCTCACCCCCCTGTGCTCCATCTCCAACATGTACCCCATCCTTTCATTTAGGTGTCACTGCACACACCCCTCCTCTTCTCAGGACCCTCAGTGGTGCAGACATATCTGCTCCCAGGCTCCACCAAAACACTAAATTTCCTTCTCCACTGTCCCTTCATCCCAGCGAAGTCAGTCTGTGCTTCACACCTCCTGGGAGAAACACAATCCTATTTGGAGGTGGCAGGAGAGAAGGTGGTAATGGGGTCCCTTGTCCCAAGTGCAGCTCCTGGGTGTGTGTGTGTGTTGGAGGGGGGGGCGCTGCCAGCAGCGGCTCAACTGCCAGTTCCAACAGGAAGCACATCGCAAAGCCACCTAGGGTCATGCTTGGCCAATCAATCAATCAATCAATCCATCAACAATTGCTAGTCAACACTCTTGTGGAGCCGGCGTCTCTCTGTGCCACTGGGCAAAGCCTCCTCAAAACACAGGAAAACAAACAGAGACCCAAAGAGACATCCTTGTAACCATGAAACAATGGCTCTAAAATCCAGCTTTCTGAGCCAGGGCTTCTCTAAGCACTTCACAGAATCTCAGATGCCGCTTCTTCGGTATCCAGGGAAACAGAGGTTACAAGTAAGCCCCTGGGGATTTGTAAAAATCCCTCCATCTCCCAGTGCCTGGCTCCTCGTGGTCTGTTTCTCCATGTCAGCCACGAGGAAGAGGATTAGCCAGGGAACAGTCACTGGAGGGAGGTGAAGGTCTCCACTGAGTGTGGAGCAGGAGGACGGGCTGGCCCAGGCTTCGGGACACCTGCTGCTCCAGTCCTGCCTTCATGGTCCTTCCTGCTCCCAGCTCATCCCTGTGTGGCTGTACCTTTACTCTCGACCCAGCAGTACCCACCCTTGGAGAACAGGAGGGAAGCTGCCCCGCGAATCCTCAAGGTAAGCCGGCCTTGGCGGTAAACTGAAACGTGCCCCACCGAGTCCAGCTCCACCCTGTTATTCTGCGTCCAACGCTAGGGTGTGGATCTCCGCTTAGCTTCTCTCAGTGAGAATTCCCAAGGCCAGGAAGAAGCAGTGTCATCCTAAGGACAGGAAGAATTTGAGTTTCACGTGCCTGCCCCCTCGCCAGCTTACCCGCTGCCTTCCACACACCGCTGAGGGGAGCAGAAAAACAAGTATGAATATAATTCCCCACCTGACTTCCTTTCATATTAACTAATTAACCAACTAAATCACCAATAAATTACTATTATAAAATGTGTATACACACAGGCATATGTGTGTGTGTGTGTGTGTGTGTATACACACATATACGTGTCTATATAGTTCCAGCTTTTCTTCCTTGCCCTCTCTCTTGCAGGCAGCTTCAGGCAAAAGCTTCTGACCCCACTGGAAGGGCCTCATCGGATCATAGGTGCCACGTAGTTGGCAGGGAAGAGGCCCAGTTTGTTGTGCAGGCGGCCGGTCCACCAGGACGGGTTGGAGCTGTCCAGGACCTCGACCACCTCTCCACTGCGAAATCCCAGCTCGTCGTCCTCCAGGGCCTCAAAGTCGTACAGTGCCCGGGCCCACCGCACTCGCTGTTGGGGGAAGCGCAGAGGGGTCCTGCTGAGCCAGGGCGGGGGTGCTGGCCTGCAGAACCACTGTCATGCAGGGGAGGTCCCAAGGCTCCCGCACCAAGATAAAGTCCTCGATGAGTGGCCTGCCCCGAAGGCTGACTTCTGGCTTCCCAGACCCCTCTTGGACCCCCCTGCCCCGAAGGCTGACTTCTGGCTTCCCAGACCCTCCCAGACCCCCCTGCAGTGGAGAGCAGACCCCACTGCACAGCCCTGAGCACAAAGTTATCAGAACTTATATGAGCCACTCTTGAGACTCAGGACTTCTACTGCAGAGAGGTTACCTCCAAGCCTCCCAGAGAATCCTTGACAACTACCCTCCCTACATCAATAGGTGGTCTTCTTATTCTCTTCAGACGACAGAAAGGATGGCAGCGTGCCTACACTGACAGCCCCTGGTGCTAGCACAACCGAGGCAGGTGGATTGCAAGGAAAAAGCCAACAGATCTCCCTCCCCTAGAGGCAGAGCCGAGAAGGAAGAGGACAGGGCAAGGCAGAGCGGCCAGAGTAACAGACAGGGATGGGCTCTGCCTGGGAACTCCCCCGCCCCCATCACTGGGCTCCCCCTGCCTCCATTTGGAGCCCTGGCTCCCTCCTGCAGGACCAGCCTTTTCTCTAAGTGCCCCCCTGGCCGCCTTCATTGAGCCCAGGGAGGGAACGTTCACGTACCCCAGCCACTTGGAGCTGCACTGGGTCTGTGTGTCTCCGGTGCATGAGGGCGGCATTCATTTCGCTGCCCACGCCCACACCACAGTGCCCATCGTTTATGTCAAGGCTGCCTCCTCGGCGTTCCTAGAAACACATGTAACGGAAGACCTGTCACCACACCACGTCCCTCCCAGGCCCTCCAGTGCCTTGCTCAGATGCTAGGGACACAGCCAGTGTTCCAAGAATACTTGCTGCCAGTGACAAGAAACCCCAGGTGTTGGAGAGAGGGGGAAGGATGGCAAAGGGACCTTCGATTGTGAAGACGATGCCAGATTTCATTCATTCAAAGAATATCAGACACCTGCCATGTATCTAGTACTGTCCTAATCACTGGGGATGTGTAGCTGGAAGGAAAAGGCCCTTGTCTTCGTGGATCATCAGTTTAGAGGGGGAACCATCTACATTTAAGTGATAAGTGAGCTAAGAGAGCATCTAAATCAGCCAGGGTAATTGGAGAAGGCTTCCTAGGGGAGGTGATACTTGAACTCTAGCTTAGAGGAGGAGAAGGATCAGCCAGGAAAGGGCATTTTAGGCAGGGGAAATAACATAGAAAAAGCCCCCCAAGTTATGAGAGAAAACACAACAGACCATTCTGGTAACTAAAGATAGTGCAGTGTTGCTGGAATGTGTGTTTGCTCGGGGAGTGAGGAGGGTGGAGGGCAGAGGGGTGGTTTAGGAGTAGCCAGGAGGAGATGAGGCTGGGGAAACAGATATGGGCAGCTCACAAAGAGCTTTGTGTGCCTTACTAAGGAATTTAGGAACGATGTTATCTGGCTGTATTGTCCATCTCGGTAAGCGGCCCCAAATCCCATCTGGAACAAGGCAGGGGATAAATAAATAAATAAATAAATAAATAAATAAATAAATAAGCAAGGCTCTATTGTGGGCGTTAATCCGTTTTTCTTGTGGATCTCCACAGCCAGATGGGTTAAGGGGCATGGATAGATTTGGAATTGTGCTGACAGGAAAATGAAGCCACGGTTCACTGAATCCTCAGGGTAGGAGTGTGTGTGTGTGCGTGCAGGTGTGTGTTCAGGCAGGGAGCCAATGAATTCACAGGGACTTCTTGCCAAGAGCAGTTCCCATATCATATTATCATATTTCTGCTGGTTGGGAGGTCCCAGGTCTTCTTTATGAAATCTGTGGACCCTCACGAGCCTGGGCTGGGCCTGAGATGCTCCTCCCGGGGCCCACAGTCCCAGGACCACACACCCTCCCCCCCACCAGCATTTATTTGCTCTGGTTGTATCTGCTATCACGGGAAATTTTCACAGGCTCGGTGGCGGTGGGGACAGGTGGCCTGAGCCCTGTGGGGGAGAGCAGGTCCTCTTCCCTACCTCACAGTGCCCACTGCATTCTTCTGGGGTACCTGATGGAAATGAGGGTGCTGCAGATAGCGGTGCTGCTGAGCTGGTGGTGCTGGGGGGTACTGCGAGGGAGGGGGCGTCGGGTGGTCTGACAGCTTCCTGGTCATCGGAGGCCGGATTTCTTCTCCCACAGCCCCACTGAGGAGCAGGCCTCCCTGGGGCCTCCGGTCCAGGCTGTTGCCCCGGTGACCCTGAGAGAGAATGATGAGGATGAAGCAGATCCATCCTCCTCCTTCCTGAATCTCTGGGCCCCACCCTGCCCCTTCTGGCAGCTGTTTCCAGACCTTGCTCAGGACAGTCCCAGGAGACAGCTGAGGGCATGTGGGCAGCCCAGAGACAGCCCACAGTTCAGATCCTCACAGCTTCAAATGGCTCCACGTTCTCAGATTCTCCAGGGTTGGGAATTTCAGGTCTCTGTTTCCTTTCCACGTGCCTCCCATTTTGTCCCTTCCTAGTAGGCTTGTTTTCCTCTCTGTAATCAAGCTTGAATATTCTATTTTACTGACACAATGCCACCCCTCCTTATCGCATGTGGCCACACCGCCGGACATCCTACCCTCCCGATGAGCTGTGCTATTGACTTTGCCTGATTTTGAACTGTCATTCATAGCCTGGTGATAGAGACCCAAACAGCAGCCCTCTTGCGGCGCCATGGAAACCAGGCTTGCCGCTGGGCACGCTGGGAAGGAGCACGGCCTTTCTGCTTAATGGGACCACAGCCCTGTGACTTGGAGGTCCTCTCTTGTTATTTTTATTTCACAAACAATCACATAGGGCCCTGTGCTTCGTACATGTCAGGTGCTGTTCTAAGAGCTTTACAAATATGAATGCATTTAATCCAGTTTAATGCACTTTTATGCTACCTCTTTTCTCTCTTGCATGCATGTCCTGGTAAATTAATACCAGGTCCAATGAATGAATTGGATTCCAGCCACTTGGATCTTTCCATCACCTGTAATGTGGTTAAAATAATTCACAAAGTCTTAGTTAACCTTTGTTTTTCTTGCTGGACTTCTATGTGCACTTGCTAGGAACACTGTTTTTCTCCTAGGACTGTCATCACTTCTTAGGCTTACAATCAAGCCAACTACCTGAGATGGTTTTCTCTACTTCCCCAGAGCACGTGTTGCTTTGACAGCTGTAATGCCTTTTCAAATAACTTGTTCCTGGGATTTCAACTATTCCAGAGAATGCTTCTTCCTATACCCATCTCTTTCTTTCTTTTTTTTTTTCTTTCTTTTTTTTTAAGATTTTACTATATATTCATGAGAGATACATACATACAGAGAGAGAGAGAGAGAGAGAGGCAGAGACACAGGCAGAGGGAGAAGCAGGCTCCATGCAAGAAGCCCGACGTGGGACTGGATCCCGGGTCTTCAGGATCAGGCCCTGGGCTGAAGGTGGCGCTAAACCGCTGAGCCACCCGGGCTGCCCTCCCATCTCTTTCTTATAACGACTTGCTTCCTTTGAAAGATATTTTATAAATTGTGCGGGTGTGAATTTATGGGAGGCAAGTTAACACTTCCTTGGTGCCTGCTAGTGTCCAGACTCTATGGTGAGTGCTATCTCTATATTATCTCATTTAATCCTTGTGATAGGCCAACAAGGGAAGTATTATGCTCTCTCCATCTCCAGATGAGAAATCTAAAACTCAGAAAGGTTTCTTAACTTGGCTAGATAATAAGGATAGTTAGTGATGAAATTAAGATTTAAAGCTGGTTTTTCTGGGGGTACCTGGGTGGCTCCATTGGTTAGGTGTCTCGCTCTTGGTTTCAGCTCAGGTCATGACCTCAGGGTCATGGGGTCGAGCCCCACATCCAGCTCTCTATGCTCAGCGGGGAGTCTGCTTGAGATTTTCTCTCTCCTTCTCCCTCTGCTCCTCCCCCTGCTTTGTGAGCCCTCACTCTCTTCAATCAACCAATCAATCTTTTTTAAAAAAATTTTTAAAAAGATTTTGTATTTATTTATTCATGAGAGAGAGAGAGAGAGAGAGGCAGGCTCCATGCAGGGAGCCCAACGTGGGACTTGATCCCAGGACTCCAGGATCACACCCTGGGCCGAAGGCAGGTGCCAAACCGCTGAGCCACCCGGGAATCCCCAATCTTTTTTTTAAAGGTAGGTTTATCTGATGCATTTTCTAGTAAAATAATACTCCATATTCCAGACTGTTCCCAGAGCAAGAATTTCAGTCCAATTATTTCTTCCAACAACCCTACCCCACCCTTCTGTGACAAAGCTTTACCCACTCCCTTAGTCCTGGACTCTAAGATGCTCTCCATCATTCCCGTGTGTGCCCCCCTGGCCTTCATCTTTGGCCAACTCCTAAGTTGGGCTGAAACTGTGATGTAGTAATATCTATAATAACAAATAAAGCATCCATGGTTAAGAGCTAATGTTTGTTGAGTGCTGGTAGCACTGTTAGGAGTGATATAAGGGAAGGCAATACATTATCTTCTCAAACCTTCACCACCATCTATGAGTTAGGTATCACTATCATCCCAGTTTTATGGATCAGGAAACTGAAAATCAGATAAATTTCCCAAATCACATGGCTGGGAAGTATTAAGAGATGATTTAAACTGAGGTCTGACCTCGGAGTTATTCTGTCTTCCAGAATGCTCAGAGGACATGTCCATCAAATGCATTGTCTTGATGGGTCGAGTAGGACTCATGCTGCCTAAAATCTGCAGACCGGGGCTGATCAGGGCCTGAGACATACCTGGTCCTCTCGGGTTCTATCCCTCAGAAAGATCTGCTTCTGTTTGGAGATGGAAGTCGTCCTGTAGTAGTCTACCAGCTTATTTAGAGATGGAAACTTCTCTGTCCACAGGAAGTAATTACCCTTGTTGTCTCTCATGACCTTGAAGTGCTGAACATCATCTTCATGCCTAGAGATCAAGGTAAATCAAAATTGTATGTTATATGGTGATGATGTCCCCACCCCCAGAGCTGACTGCATCCAGGGGTGCTGGAGTTCTATTTGGGCAGGAAAGGGGATTTGAGTGCTTGCCCATCAAAAAGCAGGTGGGCTGGCTCACTCAAATTCTAGGAGGAGATTTGTGGCAGGGACCACTCAGGACACAGGCTGCATTAGAAGGGATTTTCACATCAGCAGAAGATAATCAGTCTTCTGACACTGGAGCCAAGCTTTTATAAGAAGAAAATGTCCAAGTGCTTTAAGAACTATCAGGTCAAGGACTTTTTACAATGTTTGTTTGAACATGGTAATCCCTAGTTCTGTATGATGCTAAGGACTCTGCCAAGACTCAGAGGGGAGAGATTTTTCACCCCTGCTATCTTTCCATTATCAGAAATACTTTGAACCAGCTCTTTTAAGCCCATAAACTAGCTCTGGACAGTAAGAGGCTACCTTGGGAAATTTGTCACACTTGGTTCTCTATATAATGGAGATCTCTTGGCCTTGGTTTACGTTTTGCAAAAATAAGGTTACAAAGTATTTTGAACTTTTGGGGAGAAAAGTGTTACATAGCAATGTAGTGTTTTAATTGGCAAGGACCTCTGAGATTGTTTAGCTTTGTCTCCATGTTATGTAAGGTGAGGATGCTGAGGCTCAGAAAGGTGAGGGGCTCGGCCAAGGTCATGGTGAGTGAGTGGCAGAGATGAGGCAAGAACCTTGGTTTTCTGAGTCCAGTCTAATGAATTGAGCCTGTCATTCCATGTACACCTGCTAACTTCTTTTAGATCGGCACCTTTTGACACCAGCTGGAATTGCAGTGATGGGAAATATTTGTATCAGGGTAGGAGAAATTGGATTTTATTCATCTGGAAAGGAGGTGTTTGGCCTTTACTATTAGCTCCAGTCTTTCTCCATCAACAAGGCATTCTCTTTTCGATGTCAAGTTTATTTGTCAAACAGACATACACTTATATCTAAAAATAAACTAATGATATCAATTGCCTGATCCAAGAGAAAGGTCAAGAATTTAAGGAGAGTTGGGGAGTAAAGATACCTCTGAAGGTTAGTGCAGGTTTCTTAAGGATGGATTCAGTGGACTATGTTCAGAGGGGACAGGAATTTTGATTGATCTTCAGGCTCGTCTTATGTGCTGGGCTCTGCTCATAGCCAGCAGTGACCTCTGCTTGACTGCTCCGAGCTAGGAACCGACACTCTGCAATCACTGCATGGTCTTCCCCTTGGTGTTGGCCAGTAACAGATGCTTTCTTCATTCTAACAACACATGGTTTAATTCCTAGTCATTACTCCTCACATCTGTGTGTGGAGGAGGAAATATTCTTGTGATATAATTATTCATCCACCACCTCTTAGTCAAAGAACTCAGAGTGAGAAACATTAACCCTCTCTCTCATGAACTGAGAGGCTGGATGTCAGGCTCGCAGCCAGTCACCTGGGCCTGTGGAAAGAGCTGGGCTCTCTCATCTGGGCTGCACCACTGTCTCAAGTTCCAAGAGGAGCAGAGAAAAGGATATAACTCAGGGCTTCAGACTCTAAAGTCTAGTGTTTCAGACCCTTAATGAATGCTAAATGTTAGAACTACAATTAGCTCTTAATTATCTTTGCATGACAGAAAGCAGATGTATAAATAAATAAAAATGATTTGCTTTGGAATATATTAGTCTACGTTTCTGCAAGAGACGTAGTAATGATTATGGTAATAATCACAAGAAGCTGCAATGCCTCAACAGCAGGGAGAGACTGTGGCAGAAGTCAAGGCTGACCCTTTTGGAGAATTCACCATCATGGAGGAAATATAAACCATAATTCCTAGGTGAAAAGCCAGAGTGCACTTCATGCAAACCAAAGGCACCAAGGAATGCCCTTCAATATAGCCATTTACCTGGTCCAATCTGTAACCAGGGCCTTTAAGAAAGAGGTTTGACTATAAAATTTATTAAATAGAGCAAAGTTGCATTAAGACCTAACAAATTTAGAATTTGTGATCCATCACTATTGGCCTGACCTAAAATTTCCTATTGCCTAACCTATGAAAAAAAAGCAAGTTTTAGTTAAGGAAAATTAAGATTTTAAGCAAGATTGCAAGGACAATGCTAATGAGACCAAGCTACTTTTGAATGCTTTAGAGGTGCAGGTGCATACAAATGGTTGACCCCTATTTGTAAGTCCTTCCTACCTATTCCTTAAAATACCCATTCTTCCAGGCAGCCCAGGTGGCTCAGTGGTTTAGCGCCACCTTCAGCCCAGGGTGTGATCCTGGAGACCTGGCATCAAGTCCCATGTTAGGCTCCCTGCATGGAGCCTGCTTCTTTTCCCTCTGCCTGTTCTCTGCCTCTCTCTCTGTGTTTCTCATGAATAAATAAATAAAATCTTTTAAAAAAAAAGTACTCATTCTTTCTTTTTTTTAAGATTTTATTTATTTATTCATGTTAGACACAGAGAGAAAGAGGCAAAGACCTAGGCAGAGGGAGAAGCAGACTCCATGCAGGGAGCCCAATGCAAAAATACCCATTCTTTCTAAATAGTAAAGTGGCCTCTCAGTTATTACCCAAGATTGGATTTATGAACTTAAAGCACTAAAGCTGCATGCCTTTCAAAATGTATTGAACAATCCAGACCAATATTTCCTGTCAATGAACCGACAGTAGGCTCCACTGTACAGGTTTCCACGGCTCCTCATGTGCAGGTATCAGCATTAATTTGCACACTTTCACATGTGGTCACCATGCCTGGTATGTGACTTGCAATCCCAGATGTGCTGACCACATGCAGTGCACTCAGACTTGGGGTTTCTGAGCATGGAGCTGTGTCATGCTTGTGTCTGGACTGACTCACTTCCTCCTGGGTGCTTCACATTAATGAGATTTTGCTGCTACAGTCCCTCACCTCAACCCCCTCGGCTCTGATCTGTTGCTGTCAGTTTGCTGCATTACAGTGCATGGAGCTGGCCCTTCTTTTTGTGCAACCACCTACAGCAATGACTTGAGATTTTAATTTTCCTCTGAGCCTTCTTCAGATATGTATCAGTAGTAGAAGAAGAAGTTCAGATTTAAACCCTAAGACAGATGTGGACAATTGAGGATTCTCCATTCCTTCTCTTGTCCTACTTCTTTGCACAAATACTCATCGAATGCCCACTGGGTATAAGGTGCTGTTAAAGGCACAAAGATGAAATACATTAAGATCCTGTCCTTCCAGGGGCACCTGGGTGGCTCAGTGGTTGAGCATCTGCCTTCTGCTCAAGGCATGATCCCGGGGTCCTAGGATGGAGTCCCACATGGGGCTCCCCACAGGGAGCCTGCTTCTCCCTCTGCCTGTGTCTCTGCCTCTCTGTCTCTCATGAATAAATAAATAGTATCTTTAAAAAAAAAAGATCCTGTCCTTCCAGAAGCACTTAGGCTAGAGGGGGAGGCAGATGGACATATACATAACTTGGCCACAAGCCAGCGTACTGAGGAGGTATATACATGGGTCACAGGAAGGAGATGAATGGCTTCCAGCTGATAAGATGCCTGGGCCCCTTGGCCACCATGCTTCTGAGCAATAGGTCACGTTCAAGGGGTCACCTCATGGCTTTAGCAGTCTGAGCCGGGAATGATCGTACCTGACGGAGATGGAGAAATCCCCTGGAGAGCTCTGGCTGGCCCGGATGATGAAGAAACCAACCTCCTTGCCCATAAGTAAGTTCTCAGCCTGGTGTCGTGAGAGGCCTTCATGAAACCATCTATTGGATGAGATAAAACCAGAGAGTCTTGGTGAGATGCCAGAGTGATGGGAAGGGGAAGGGGAAGGGGAGAAGAAATGACCCAAAGGGAAAGAGGGACTTTGGTCAGTAGAGAACAGGAAGAGACAAAAGAGGGGGCTGGGGCCTCTGAACCGAACATGCTCTAGGCAGTTTTCAGACAAGGCAAGTGAGCGTTCCCCTGACGCACCCACTTTGTTCCTTCCCTCCAGGAGAAGTCTTTCTTGCACTTGGAAAACCTGAATCATGGAAATGTGCCACTGCACCAAAATGGGACAGTGTGGGAGTGACTCACTGCGGGAAGTGGCCGCCTGCTGGCAGCTATGTGAGGGATGTCACTAGGAAAGAACTGCAGGGAAAGATGATGTGCCAGGAAGACAGGAACCCCTTCAGGCACTGGGGGACCAGAGCTGGGAAGCCTTGGGCTCACACCCAGGCTGGGAGATCAGTGGGCCCCCTTAATGCCCAGGGGTGCTTGTGATCTGGGTGGTGTGGAGCCAGGCTAGCAGCAGCAGAGAGCAGCGTCAACACAGCCAGCTCCCAGGAACCCCCTCAATATCCAGGCAAATAATCCTTACTGTGGAAAAGAAGAAACAGAGGAGAGATTCTTCTTTCAGGGGAGCCGTCAGGGTGGCAGTGTCTGGAAGTGTTGTGGCAAGTGGCATAGCATACATGCAAAAGGCCAAGTACAATCACAGGAGCAAGGCAAACAGTGGTTACAGCCTCAGGGCAGGAGGCCAGAAACCTCTCAACCACAGAAGAGCAAAATGAGTGTTTGCAATCACTCAGCAGCCCTAAGTGGGATGGGTCCCATTTCTCCAAGGTGGCTGCCCTATTGCTGCCACAGGAAGGCTAGTATGTCCAATCCCTTGAAGGTGAATGTCTGACACACTTTGGATTCCTTTGTGAGCGATATCCTATGCTCTCTAGAATTTAGGAACCTGGACAGGAGTGGCAGGAGGGATGTCCTAATTCTAGACCTGGAACTACAGGGGAAGGTTGGTTGGGCTCCGAGGGGCCAGAAGCAGAGGGTTTCTGGTGGCCGTCTACCTGGAAATCCTGCCAGAGTAGCTGCCACACTTCGCTACAGGGCCGAACAAGTGACCACCACAGCACTGCCTTGTGTAGGAAATGTAATGGGGTCGGGTAAGAGAATGGGACATGCTCCTCAGCAGCCCTATCTCAAAGGAAATATTTTGGAAGAGGCAGCAAGTGGTTAGGGGATTGTTTAGAAGATACACATTTGTCCTCTAATTGGAGTTGGATAGATGACTTCAAGACTTGCAAAAATGTCCACACTGCATATTAAGCAAGCAGGCAGGGTTATGTTTTTACATATCCTTCCAAAGCTAGTCATTCGTTCATTCAACAGGTGGTTTTTTTTTTTTTTAAGATTTTATTTATTTATTCATGAGAGACAGAGAGAGAGAGAGAGAGAGAGAGAGAGAGAGAGAGAGGCAGAGACACAGGCAGAGGGAGAAGCAGGCTCCATGCAGGGAGCCCGATGTGGGACTCGATCCCAGGTCTCCAGGATCACGCCCTGGGCTGAAGGCGACACTAAACCGCTGTGCCACCCGGGCTGCCCATTCAGCAGTTTTTAATCAAGTATCTACTACGTGCTGGCCTTCTGCTAGACGTTGGGGATAGATATAGTGGTGAGCAGAGCAGACGAGAAGCCCTGTCCTCATGGAACTTACATTCTATCACGCAGAGACCATAGAACCCACTGGCGGACCTGGTAGTTCACTGCGACAGTGATAAAAAGGTTTCAAGGGGGGAGGGGAGAAGTTAGAGATGAGAGTACAGAAAATTCTCTTGAAGAAGTAGAGTAGTGGAGTGATAGCTGGAGGGGGACTTGGGACCAAGAGGTTTTGCTTTTGTTTTGCTTTTCGGTAAGATGGGAGAAGTTGCAGCATCTTTGCAGATGGGAATGACCCAGCAGAGAGGGAGAGAATTGATATGGGGGGGGGGAGGGAGAGTTTCTGCTAGAAGCACAGACAATTCTTTCCAAACAGCTGCAGGAAAGGCAGCCTTGTCTGAGTGCAGTTGCAAGAGGTGGGTGGATGCAATGAGTCAGCGGGGGGGGGGGGGGGGGGCACGGTAGAGGGGCTTTTCTGGTGGCTTCCATCATCCCAGTATCCCTGGAAGCAAGGCCCTGAGCCACTAGGGCCGTGGGGGAGGGGCTGGAGGTCTGAGGAGCAAGAAGGCATCAAGTGGTCATCTAGAAGATTACAGGGCAGCATCAAGGGTTGAGGTCGGTGGTCGTTCTGTTGGTTCGGTGGTCAGTCCTGGTTCACCAGAGTCACCAATACCGCTTCGGGTTTCTAACAGACCTTTTTGCTCTTTGAGCTAGACCGAGACTCTCGGAAATTAGATTTGTATCTAACCCTTGTGGTGCATTCTTGAGACAAATGAGACAAAATCTCAATTTTTCTTTTTCCTCTTTATGAAAGGAATTATTCTTTTCCCCCCACTGATGGTTTTCATGGGTATGAACATGGCTTAGGGAAGGCAGCTGTTTGTGATCCCTGGTGAGGACGGAAGATGGTTAGGAGGTAATGGAGAGGTGCCCTGAAGAAGCCGCTCTTGATGTGGGGGTGGCCAACAGCGCCCCCGATGGAATTCGTGGAAACCCTGTGATTGCAATTATAGATGCCTTTAGCTTATAAACCTAAAATAGGCGATCCATGCCCATGGTATAAAATTCAAAAGGGAATGCAGTGAAATGCAAATCTCCCTCCCACCCTGGCCTTCAGCTGTGTGGTTCCCTTTCCAGAGGCAACCAGTTTTGACAGTATCTTGGGTATGCATAGATAATTTTAGTGACTGCTGAAAAAGTAAGGGGAGTGTGTGTGGGTAGGCCCATGTCAGCAGGCTGGAAATACTTACTCAGGAAACTGGATGTCTATAAAATTCTTGGGCACATATCCTTCTTGGCTTCCAAGCTCCGCCTTGAACCACTCCTCTTGGTTACTTAAGATCTACATGGAAAAGAAGCAAGGACAAAGACTGGAGGGAGGATGTCAAGAAGCAAAAGAGAGGGGTACAGGGCAAAGAACATCTTTTTGGATTTAGAGGGAAATAAGCCATAGAAACCACACAGGTGCTCCAGTGGCGGGGCAACAGGTTTATCTCTGCAGTTTGGCTTCTGTGACCCGGAGCTATATCTGTCCACTAGTGCCAGCCACACATGGGACCCCATCATGGTGTGGCCTTCCAGGCTTGGCACTTGGAGGATTCTCTGAAGCCCCTTCTCTTTATATTTTGGAAATTCATGTGTCCCAGGTCTCAGCACCTTAAGCTCCTCATTTGAGCAGATGCTGGGAAGGCAAGAGTGGCCACTCCGTGATTTCTTCTTCTCTGCCAGGTAGCCAGGAACCTGTTAGAAATTTAATGTGTTCCTATTTCTTTAAACAAGCAAATTAAAACTTAAACATCCAGTGGGGCCAGCTTTGAAAACAGTAACTCTTTGTGTTCACACTCCATGTGTTTCACAAACAATTTGGACGTGACTCAAGATATCTGGGATGCCTTTTCTAAACTTGCTTTTAGCACCAGATCACAAGCAAACCAGAAGTTCTGTCTCCTTACTATATGGTCCTTCAGTGACTGTGACCCCAACTGTTATCACTTCCCTTGATTACTCGTATGACTCATCAGACTTGGCTGTATGCGGCTTCCGGTTATTTCAGAAAATGTTTCACTATTAAAAGACAAATATTTTCCCCCATCCCCCACTGAGAACGGTTCTAAAGTATGTGGCGTGGACTTGAACAGCAATGAAGGTGCCAGAGCTGGGGCACGTGGGGGGCTCAGCGGTTGAGCATCTGCCTTCGGCCCAGGGCGAGATCGCGGGGTCCCAGGATCGAGTCCTGCATCTGGCTCCCCGCAGGGAGCCTGCTTCTCCCTCTGCCTGTGTCTTTCATGAATAAATAGACTCTTAAAAAGAACAAAGTGAAGACGGCTTGGCTTGACGATGTCATCGAGCCCCTGAACGAGCCACCCGGGAGCCCTCCTACGTCTGGACATTGCGTGAGAAGTAATCAGTGGGCATTATTGTCTAAGCCGCATTCACGTTTCTGCTTCTTTTTCAGCTGAAAACGCCTGAACTGGTGGAAACCACCACGCGGAAGGGGGAAGCCGGGGACGGCTCAGGGAGACCACCGGGAGCAAAAGCCCTGGGGTTGCCCAGGCCCTGAAAGTTCTCCAGGCAAAGGGCGGGCGCAGGAACTTCCGGGATGGGAGGAAGTGGGGTGCATTCTGGGAACAAAAGGCCTCTGTCCGGCGGGACTTCCGGTTGTGGCCCCAGGGGCCCAGAGGTGGGGAATGGTAGAGACACAAGGCCTTTTCTCTTGAAATTTATGGGGAGCCACTAAAGGATTGTGAGCCGGGAAATAACATGGGAAGAATTAGAGCCAGGAAGGAGTCCTGTACGAGAGCCTGAAGGGGGCTTGGAGGCACGAAGCGCAGCCACCCCTGCGAGGGTCGAGGGCCTGCTTGGAGGCCCCCGGAAGCCCCGTGTGCAGGTCGTGACCTTCCCGACCCGAGGGAGAAGGGGATTCTGGGAGGGCTCTGGATGTCCTTGGCCTTGGGAGACCGAGTGGGTGGTGATGCCTTTGCTCAAACGGACAAGTACAGGAGGAGGAGCAGGTGTGAAGATCTCGTGTGGGTGAATCCACGTGGCCCCGGGACCGTCTGGGAAGGAAAGCCCAGCGAGCAGTTGGAGGAGAAGTTGGGGCTGGCGGCGGTGACTCCAGAGGCATCAGCGCAGGTGGGGTGGAAGCCTGGGTCCCACGGGCTCCTTTCTTCCAGACATGAAGAGAGAGGAGAAGAGCTAGGAAACTGGTACTTCTACTACCACCCCCAAGGTAGAAGAAAGGGCCAGCTCTCCGAATGTGGAATGAGAAGACCCAGTTTCTAGGCTGGCCCTGTCACCAGCTGTATGACCCTTGGCAGGTCAACCAGCCGTCAGGCAGGTTACTGGTGACAGTAACCACTAGCCAGTCCCTCACAGAGAGGATGTGAGGATCCGATGAGCCCTGGTACCTCGAAATCCTTCAGGAAGTGTGTGCTGTTTTTTTTTTGTTGTTGTTGTTGTTTGTTTGTTTGTTTGTTTTGTGTTTTTTTTAATACAATTCTGCAAAATGTGGTATTCTTAGAAAGGAGGACTCCAGCTCTGAAGGACATGGTAGGGCTTATAAATTCTTTCAAGTATTAGATGTGTACGTTTTGAATTTGATCACTTGTTCTGAAGAAATAAAAGTGTGTCCCATATTTAAGTTCTAGAATTGCTGAGGACAGAAAACTTTATAGTTTCTAACATCAAATATGACTGCTGGTATCACTGAGGACATGTGGGTACTGGTATGCTAAGGGGGGAGAGCAGAAAATCTAGGTCAGAAAAAGAACTAGGAAACTCACACCGGTGCCTGGTCTTCACACAAAGAACACAAGGACGTTTCACGCCACGCCTCCCCCCCCCCCCCAATTTGTGGCTTTGGGATTCCTTTCTCCCATCACCCCAGAGTGCGATGTTTCGGCTGGGTAGCAAATGTCAAATACGAAGGTGAACAGGGATAATAGGGTAAAAGAGGCCAATTGGAAATTGGCTCATCACGGTAAGAACCAACTTTGTACTTAGTTCTCTGACCTGAAACCAGCTGTAATTTTAGTAATTGTGGCGCATACCCATTTACCTCCTGTAGCAACTGAAAGATTATCCTGCAATGCCGACCATTTCTACCCACCACCTGGTGCTCCGTCTGCCTGAGATTGTGTTCCCAGAGAGGTGAATTTACAGGCTTTTTATGGTCTATAGAAGGCAAGGTTTTAAAAGAATCTAATTTTCTGCAAGGAAGAGTGTTTGGGGGGAGGTGGTTTCCTCCTGCCGCTGTTGGCTCAGGGCCCCATACTTCCTGTTCTTCTCATCTTTCTGTCTATTCGGTTCCCCATATCTCTTGTCCCCATCATGAAAACCCAAGCAAGGGGTTCAGGCTGAGCACATGAGGTTTTATACTTCACTTTACCATATCTTAATTCTTATAATGTTGTCTACGAGCATAATTTTCTGTGTTACGTGGCCTGAGAATAAGATGTGGGAAGAGGACAAAATACCATTGGGAGAATTTTAAAATTGGTTGGAATTATAGCTCTTAGCGGCCTAGTAGAAATCTGAAGTATTGAAGAAGTTAATTGACACAGGATTAAGTCTTAGTGCTTTCAGGTCACTGTTTTAGTAGGGAGCAATGGGATTGAGTTAGACATGTTACAGAAGTGGGTAGAAATGGATTGGGTCCAGAGACCTTTTTTTTTTTTTTTTAAACAACTGGCAAATTTAAGAGACAAATGTAAGTCTGGTGTTGTATATAACTGCAGATCCAGGGGGTTGAGGCACAAACATGAAACATCCGACTCCTGACTTCAAATGTTTCTCTCCCAGGAGAAGCAGAATGGAGTCATTTGGCTGGAGTTCCCCAACCACCATCTTGTTCATCATCCTGTAATCAGCATCTAGTGAGCACTTGCTGTTTGCACTCAGGTGCTGGGAATACAGAGATGAATAAACTGAGAACTCTGTCCTGGGGAACTCACAATCTGGAGTGGGTGGGTTGGCGGTGAGCTAGTCAGACATCGTTTGTACCTTCTAGTGAAAAAGTCTGTTTAGTCTTTTAGCATGAAAAGCCTAGGATGAAAGAACACCGCAGGAGTAAATTACTGGGGCAGTCACAAGCTGCCTTTGAAAGCACTTGCAAGATTTTTGGGGCTTGTTACCCATCTCTGGAGTCAAGGGGGCAGGGTTGCAGTTGTACATAGAGACCCACAGGCAGGGCTACTAACCCCCATGATACAGATGTACTGTGGGGCTCAGCCAACAAGCCCCTCTCCACTTTTCATTCCACCATTAAGCTGCAAGGGACAGAATTTGAAAAGAAGGAGAGGTTGGCCTTCTGGTGGAATTCTACATGAGCATGCAGAAATGCAATTTAATAACTCAAGCAATTTGTACTGAGCACCTGTTTGGGGTCATGACTTGTGTGGGGTGCTGCTGGGAAGACACAAAGATGAACCAGGCATGGCTCTGCTCTGGACCAGAGGAAGAATCAACTGGTCAATTATTCATCAAATATTAGGGAGAGTCAACTCTCTGCTGTTTTGGACACTGAGGCAGACATGGCCCCTGCCATCAGAGCTTTGGCGAGTGGAGTAGCTAACACATAAACAGGCAATCAGGATCCTACAGGGTAGGGGCAGTGATGAGAGATGGGTGTACAGGGCGCAGAAGAGCACAGAGGCTTGGCTGCTCATGAATAACTGCCACCGGAGGTGAGATCATCAGTGCCTAGAACGAAGTGTGTGTGCAATGCTGTGGAAGAGCTGAAGAGGGACTGATTAATTTTGCTGAGGCCATCGGGAGTGTGGAGGATTCGTGAGGGTTTCCAGGCAGAGATGGTCAAATATGTGTGTGCAGGAGAAAGGCATTCAGAGTATGGGGAGAGCCTGACAGCACAGTGTGTGTGTTGCAGCATAATCTGGGCATTACATACACAAGGGTGTGTGCATGCGGGTACATACATGTGCATGTTCCTGGATAAGAGCTTGATGAGGTTAGGGAGTGGGTTGGGAGCAGCTGGCTTAAATTACAATCAGTTGATAATGGGGAGCCACTGAATGCCTTTGAGAAGGAAGTGATCTGATCTGATTTGTTTTCCAGAAAGATCCTCCTGAGACTAGTATGTAGAATGATTGAAGGAGTAAGAGACAGGAGCCCCTTGAAGTCAGCCAAGGGGCTGTGGCAATAATCTGACTGGCAGCAGGAATGGGTGATACTGAAATATGGCAATCATTTATGAAGCAACCATTTGTGAGCTGGGACCATTACCTCTAATCCTCTCCAGAACCCTGCAAAATAGATATAGTCTCCACTTAACAGATGAAGACAGTGAGGCTCAGAGAGGGCAAGTGACTGAGCCAAGGACACACAGCTAGTAAGGTGAGATTCAAGCTCAGATATATCTGGCTCTAAACTCCTGCTCCTTTTTACTGCATCAAACTTCTCTTGTCAAAAGGAGAATGCTTAAGAGATCTCAAGAGAGACCAATGGACAGAGTACATGTTTAGGGTGAAGCAGAACTCCAAACCCAGAGGAGGGACAGTTAACAATGTCAAATTCCACAGGCACTTTAGAAAGGCCATTATTTTTTTAAATAAGTTTTTTTTTTTTTAATTATTCAGAGAGAGAGAAAGACTGAGAGGCAGAGACACAGGCAGAGGGAGAAGCAGGCTCCATGCAGGGAGCCCGACGCGGGACTCGATCCAGGGTCTCCAGGATCAGACCCCGGGCTGCAGGCGGCACTAAACCGCTGCGCCACCGGGGGTGCCCTAGAAAGGCCATTATATTCCACATTAAAGAGATCACTGGTGGACTGAAAGGGAGTGTTGAGGGTAAAAGACAAATTCCAGTAGGTCCCAGTGGAATAAATGAGAAGTGAGGGAGTCAGGCATCAGTACAGAGAACCTCTCCCAGTGTTGGTAATGAGGAAGAGAAAAGACACCAGGAGGTAGATTCAGAAGCAGAATCGAGGAAAGTTTCTGGGTTTTTTTTTTCCTTTTCCTTTTCTGAGAAATAAGAAGCACTCAAGCCAGATACTAGGTTCTGTTTGCAATGGGAGCTGAGGAGTGGGAGTTGGCTCCTGGCCTCTTTGGAGTGAGGACACTCTGTAGGGGTTGATGATCACAAGGTCACAATACCCATAGAGAAGGGAGGGACTGCTCACCGTGTGGCAGATCCCTCTGTGACCTTGGTAAGATCCCACAGAAGTGAAGGTCACCTTTCCTTGGGTCAGCAGCCAGACAACACTCGGACCTTGAGAAGCTCCAGCATGGAAGGCACACTCTTGGCAGCTATATTGCTAGATCTTGCAAAGTGACGACACTGAGAAGGATGAGCCCTGGGGGTGTTCAAGTTCCAAACCAAGTCATCCTTCCCGGTCTGTGCACTTGTCACGTACTGACACGATGCTCTCTACAGCAAGCATACTTCTCGGTAGTGAGATTGGCCTCAGTGCTGCCTTGCGGTCTGAGAAGAGCCCGCGTGGGCTGCTGCGGACGAGGGATCAGGTTTCTGCCAGCGCTCTGAGGCCAGGCAGGGGGCATTCGCCTCACAGACTCCCCAGATGGCCTAAGGGCTTGTGCTTTTGCTCCAAACAGGGGCTGAGATGCAGGACTTAAGCCTCTGAGTGTGGTGCATGGACTGTGGAAATTCAAGGCCTCTTCAGCCCTGCAAGGAGCCACTACAACTCAGGTGTGGGTGTTAGGCCAGTTTTCAGGTGCCCCTGAGGGGCCGGGTGTGCGTGGCCTCCGTTGGCTCACGTCCCCTCCAGCTGTCTTTCCCAGGCTGTCTCCACCAGCACCCTCCTGTTAGGTTCCTCACGATGCTCACTGAGCACCACCCTTGCTCGCTCACCTCTGAGCTTCGGGTAAAGTCCAGCTCACCTTCGCGGCATTCCTGAACAACCTATGTTGCCCCTCGCTCCTGCAACCCCGTCTCTCACGGCGGGATCCCTTGTTCCCTCACCTGGGCTCCTGAGCACTTAGACAAGAATATCTGGAAGAGCCCTTTGGACGGCTCTCTGCCCCCTCTCCTCCAGACCATGAGCACCTGAGGACAAGGATGGTGGCTTCTTTCCATCACCCCACCTGCTAACTGGCACCCCGGTGCTCAGAAGGAGCCCTTTCTTTTTTTTTTTTTTTAATTTTTTTTATTTATTTATGATAGTCACAGAGAGAGAGAGAGAGGCAGAGACACAGGCAGAGGGAGAAGCAGGCTCCATGCACCGGGAGCCTGACGTGGGATTCAATCCCGGGTCTCCAGGATCGCGCCCTGGGCCAAAGGCAGGCCCCAAATCGCTGCGCCACCGAGGGATCCCCAGAAGGAGCCCTTTCTATTGAGGTGAACTTTTCTTTTTGAAAGGAACTGTGTGTAGTTCTTAAGAAACAAAGGCATGGGTTGTTGGGTGAAATCGGGGACCAGACCAGAGTAACCCCAAACTCCCCAGGGCCCCCTCCCCTCAGGGCCCCACGTCACCTACCTTCAGAACATCTCCGGTGTGAAAGCTCAGTTCATCCTCACCTGAGGCGGTGAAGTCAAACTTGGCGATGGCTTCCATGTCGTGACGTGGAGCTGGAAGAGAAGTAATGTTCTCATTATGCCCTTCTGTCCGGGGAAGCGAGCAGAGCGGCGGCGGCCTGGCAGTCTGAGCAGGAGGTCAGCGCCCGGTCCCAGGCCTCCGAGGCCTCCAGGCTGGAGACAGGCGGGCCGCACGGCCGCACGGGGAGGGAGCCTGCAGGATGTGCTTCCCGTTCTTCCCCCAATCCCCACATGCCAGGAGCAGGGAACTGAGGCCAGCAGCGCCTTTCCCCTTCCTTTCATCTCACTTTGCCTGTCTGGCCTGTCACCCTTTCTGCGGGCGTCCCTGTTTCTGGCTGATAAGGACGGAAGACTCGCTATCACCTCTAACTCGGGCCGAGGGGCTGGAAAGACTGTTCTGTAAACATCGTCCTGAGGCTGTCCCTTGGCAGCTATATTTAACCAGGCAGTGTTAATTAGACAGATGCCATTTTCTCTTTTACATCTGAATCATTTAAGAGAATTAGGCAGCATCGGCCAGTGGGGAACTTAGCATCCTTCCACATGGCCTGAGAGTGGAAAGCATTCTGGTTCGAGAAGCAGGAGACTCAATTAGACTCCTTATTTCATTACAAGAGTGTAAGCCAAGTACACTTTGAAAAATTTCATTCTAATACTTCTGAATTGAGTTAAAATATTATTACCCCCTCCCCCTGGAATACACGAGGCCTATGTAAAATAAAGTTAGCCTACAAATTAAATATAGTTAGTTGTGGGTTTTTTTGTTTGTTTGTTTGTTTTTAAGGAGACATTGCAGGGGGCACCTAGGTGGCTCAATGAGTTAAGTATCTGCCTTTGACTTCAGGTCATGATCCTGAGGTCCTGGGATCAGCCCCACATTGAGCTTCCTGCTCAGCAGAGAGTTTGCTTTTCCCTCTCCCTCTGCTGCTCCCCCTGTGTGTGGTCTCTGGCGCTCACTTACTCTATCTCTCTCTATCTTTGTCAAATAAATAAATAAAATCTTAAAAAAAGAAAAAGACATTGGGGCTATAATAGAAAGAGTAGCATCCTGGTTTTGTTGGTGGCTGACTAGCTGTATGATCTTGTACAGCAACTAAACCTCTTGAGGTCTCAGTTTCCTCATCTGTAAACTAGGGATCATAATATTCAACTAATAATAGGGGTGCCTGGGTGGCTTAGTCAGTTGAATGTCTGACTCTTGATTTCAGCTCAGGTCATGATTTCAAGGTCGTGAGATAAAGCCCCATGGCAGGCTCCACACTGGGCATGGAGTCTGCTTAAGATTCTCTCTCTCCCTCTCCCTCTGCCCCTCCCTCTCTGCACTCTTTCTCTCTAAATAAATAAATAAATAAACAAAAAACACCCAAATAATATTAAAAGAAATTGTATGGGATGAATTTATCCTCAGCAAATGTAGTCTGGCCAAAAGCAGCCCCAGTTTTCTTCTGATTTCTCCCATCTTCTATAAGCTTTCTTCTTTGCAATTTGATGCTAATTCTCCATGACCCTTAAATCCTTTGGTTCTTTGCTAAGACAGATTGCTGTTCCGACAGTCTTGGAAGTTGTTGCTTGGCATTTGCATTTATCAGAATTTGGCTAAGTCTGAAACCCTTTAGGTTAGTAACCTCACACCTAATGGCTTTCAGTAACCAGTAAACCAGGACCACAATCACACTCTCAGTGGGAATTTCCACCCAAGTGACAAGATTTGGGTAAATGAGGAAGGTGACTGCCAGTGGGAGGGTACAACATGCAAAGATCAGGGGATCAAAGCCAACTGCCATGGTGGTGACAGCAAGTGACTAGTTTCTCTGATTTTCCACATTTACTCAGTCTTCCAAAGGCAATTTGTAGAGATGACAATTACCCATCCCAAAGGTAGATATTAAGCAAAAAATACTTCAGGAGCCAAAGTAAAATGTCATAGTTAATTGTCTGAGTTTTATCACCAGCCAAAATTTATTTCAAAAAAAAAATATATATATATATTTTGTACCCTTTCTTCAGGATCTGTCCAGCTAAGGCAAATTAAAATTGTGACCTCGGGTGACCCACTCAACAGAAAGGAGTATTCTGCTCTCTTTAGTGAGCACTAAATGCTTTTGCTGATTTGCTTCACCCCGTGGCTTTAACATGAAAGGCCTCCCTTAATTAAGGCCTTGCCTTGAGTTTGCGGGAAGACATGGTGTCTGCAGGTCACCGTCATGGTATCAACAGCGGATACTGGTCACCTCAGGAGAGCAAGTGTCAGGTGAATGGTCCTGAAAACTAAGATCCCATTTCTATGCAAATTTACCTTAATAAGCATGATGGAGACAAGAGGAGGGCAAATGCTAAACATATTAGAAAATCACATAAATTAGGGATGAAAAAATATCCAAGGCATGCTCTAGATATGACCTTGAGCTTGGGAAGATCTTTCCTACATTACATGTAACTTGGGTACTTGGTCCAGGCTGGCTGTGTGTTGCTTCAGTGAGAAGACTGAGGCAGAAGTAGCATTGCTTCTGAGAAGCAGCTCTTTGTCCTGCCTTTCCCCAGGAGGCAGGTGGTATGGCACATCGCAGAACTCCCTAGCTTATAATATTAATCCTGACTCCGAAAACCCAATTAAACAGGCCCACTCTTCATGAAATCACTTTGAAAAAATTGTGTGCGTCCCATTTCCATTTGTGAAATGAAATCTGCTCAGATGCTGTTTGGTAGGAGGGAGACGTTCAGTGGGGAGAGGGGTGTGTTCTATTTTCGTTCAAAACCCAGGGCTTTGCAATTTGTCTCCTTGAATTTACCATTCCCTGCTTCCCTAATAGCAGTGCCACCCCCAGGGGTTGGTCTTCTATTTGATCATAAAAACTCATGGAAATTTCTATCCTATTTTTCTATATCCATTAGTCTTAATTTTGAAAACTTTTAAATTACCACCAGGGCAAAAGAAAACTGAACTAACATATTTGGTTCAGTATTTATCCATTTGTTGTATAGTCTGTACCTTCATATATATATATATGAATATATATTATATATATTATATATATATAGGAATATATATATATTTTATATATATATTATATATATATAGGAATATATATATATTTTATATATATATTATATATATATATATATATATATATATATATATTAAAAACATGGTAGCAACAATTTTAAGACAGAAGAGAAAAGAGGAGGGACAGGGGAGAAAGTGCAGCCAGCTCAAGAGCTCAAGTGTTCAAGAATGCGGTGGAGCCTTCTAGCTGCTGTATGCAGTTACAGTGCTTCTGACCTGAGGAGAGATGAGGAGAAAGACATCTCTTTAAAGAACCTCACGCATGCATTAAATGTGCGTTTCCTTTCAGTGATCAGCTTCAGAAATGGCTGAAATGCTGCCTGCTACAGAAGGAGAACATGAATGACAGGTGACAATGTCCAAGGGCAGTCAAGCCACCTCCTGGAGCCTCCCCCACCCACCCCGACCCCGTCAATGATGCCATTTATCCAGAAATCCTACCTCAGAACCATGCAGGGCTCCTCCCCTTAATGCTAGCACTGCTTCTCGCCACCCCTCTGCGTCTCTCTCACTTTGCCCCTTTATGAATTGCGTGCAATATCCATTAGCAGCCCCATGACACAGATCTGGTGTGCCACTTGGCAGCACTGCACAGGACTTCCCCAGGCACGATTTTCTCTGCCCCTGCATTTCCATTTAAGCTTCTTTTACCTCCAAAAAAACCTGAAAAATATTCAGCCTTATATACCAGGAATGTTTGTCTACTTCTAAAATACAGTCACCGCGGAGGATGAAAATAAAAACCACAAGATAGCTTTTTAAAAGAGCCCCCATGTAAAATCCAGATTAATTGGATGTGTTCAGAAGCATGTAGTTACCCTCAAAAATGGTACCCGGCAAGAAACTTCTTGAAAGATTTCAGCTCCTCCTAAGTTGGCTATGAATAGCCAAAGCTTCCGTTTTATGCATCTCTTTAAAAGAGCAATTGCATAACACCACAAAGCTGTTGGAAGACTCAGGCTCAGGACCCAAAGAAAGAAGGAGCTGGGTCCTAAATCAAGTCAGCAACACCACTTCCTATTTTGCTGGAGAGAACTCTAATTTAAATATTATGTGACTTGTACCAGTTTATGTTGTAATTCTGTTAAGCTAATTTTTTTTTAAAGAGAGAAACACTGTTCCTTCTAAGTATTGTTTGTAGCAGATTTATCAGGATGGTAACAACAAACATAATTTTTATTAATTTATCTTGTGTGTGAAATGCAGTGATAGAACAGTAAGGAATTTACATGTTAGGACTTTGCAGCTACTAAGAGGAGCTTGGCTAAAACTGCAAAATTCTTCTGGCAGTTTGACCCACATAATGCAGATCTTTGGAACCTACAGCCTTTCTACTTGTCAGGCAAAGCCCCTCCTGGAGTCAATGGGAAGGCAGAGTGCTTACTCTCCTCCTAAATTGACAAGGTCAGCTCCATTACTTTTCAGAAGTAGGAAACTTTACCCTGCCAGGAAAAAAAAAAAAGATTCTAGCTAAGCCTCACTGTACACAATAGATACGTTCTTGAAAAATTATTAGGACTAGAGTATTTGTAAGTGGCTTCATATTAGCATGCATTTTAGAGGCTTATTCTATAAAGGAACCCCATGGCGAATCCCTTTACAAAATGAAAAGGAAAATTTGTTATACAAATAACTACCTTTTAATTTATCTGTCCTAAAATCTGGGTTTTCACACATCAAGTCTTAAAGTGGAGCACACCTGTATATCCTTCTAGCACCTCTCACCATGGGTTAAATAAATGTTAGTCTCCTCTCTTCTTAACTCCCAGAAAGCTTTTTAAAAGCCTCTCCTATTGATATATAACATTCCACCTTGGAGTGTAGAATAGGAATCATCAAACAGCCACTCAACTGTGCTGCTATAGCCAGGAAGGCAGCCTGAAAGAAGAGAATTGAATGGGTGTAGCTGGGTTCCAATAAAACTTTATTTGTGGACACTGAGATTTGAATTTCACACAATTTTTACATG